ATCGCCTCCTGCGCCTCCAAGGCTCCCCGAGGAACTGCCGATACCTTCCTTTCCACCAGCTAACCGCAAGCGACCCCACCCGTCTACCCAGAACCGTGATGCCCGCCCCCCCTCTCCCAGGCACAAGATCAGCGATCACAAGCGCAAAGGCTACACCGCTGCGGAGAAGTTGAAGCATGTCGCGATGCTGGATGTGGCGAAGTCGGTGCGCGCACTAGCTTGGGAGTGTGGGATTCACCGGAAGTGTCTCGCCAACTGGAAGGTGGCAGCGGGGTTTCTCAAAGAAGCACACTCCGGGCGGAAGCGCATGCACGGTCGCGGGCGGGCCTCGTGGTACCGCCCCATGGAGTTGAAGGTGTACGAGCGGCTCCTGGACTGGCGCCGCAAAGGAACCGCCGTGTTGGTCGGCCGTCTGCGGGAGTGGTCGAGGGAGTTCATGAAGATCCTCTTCCCGGACGTCAAGTGGAGCGGGAGTCAGAGATGGTCGGAGCGGTTTCGGAAGCGGTGGAATCTGAGCGTCCGCATGAAGACGCGGGTTGCTCAGAAAACAGCCGCTTGTAAGATTACGCCCCTTGCTTTTATGTCTAAGTTTCAGGTTCACTTACTAAACTGCCGTCTATCCCGCCCGCTTTCCCCCGTCTCACAAATCTTGCGGAGCAGTGCCAGAAATTCTGGCGTTTTGTCCAACACATGCGTCGCGCGCGCGGCATCGAGCCATGCTGGATCCTCAACGCTGACCAGGCGCCGCTCTGGCTGGAGATGCCCGCCACCACGACCGTGGATCAGACGGGCGTACGGTCGGTGCCCATCCGGAGTGCAGGTTACCAGAAGGAGCGTGTGACCGTGATGCTGGCGTGCACGGCGGACGGGGCGAAGCTCAAGCCGTGGGTATTTTTCAAGCGGAAGACGCTGCCGAAGGGCAACTTTCCTCCTGGTAATAAGTAGCAACTGTCGCTGTCTTACCGTATCGTTTCTCATGTCGCGCTAACAATTTAAGTGCCATTTCTGTGTGCAGATGTGGTCGTGGCTTGCCACGAGAACGGGTGGATGAGCGCAGAAGGCGTCATCCGCTGGCTTGAGGAGTGTGTCAAGCCCTTCTTGAAGCCCCGATTTGGCAGGTGTGCGAAGAGCTCTATGCTCGTGCTGGATTCCTACCGCGGCCACCTTACCGAGGGGGTGAAGGAGAAGCTCCGCGAGATCAACTGCGTGCCTGCTGTCATCCCGTCGGGTTGTACGGGTGAGGTTCAGCCACTCGACGTCTCCATCAACAAGAGCTTCAAAGCATCTGTTCGTCAGCAGTACCAGAAGTGGTTTCAGGAGGAGGGCCAAGAGCAACTGACAGCTGCAGGTACGTTGTTTCCGTTAAACACGCATGTTTATCCCCCTTTCACCCTTGGTCACTGACACGGCTTTCCGGGTGTCTCTGTTGCGGTGCAGGGAATCTGAAGAAGCCCCCCCAGAAGTGGTCCTTCGATGGATTTCACAAGCCTGGAAAGCAGTACCCTCCGACCTCGTCAAGCGCGCCTTCCTCACCTGCGGCATTAGCAACGCGCTTGACGGCAGTGAGGACCACCTCGCCATGGCGCACAGGCGGAGCCAGCTAACGGCGGAAGTGGATGTAGACGACGATATCATCGCCGACGGATTCTTTGGCAACAACTGCCAGGAGCCCGAGTATGACGAGGAGTAGTTCCGGTACTAGCACCTAGGTAGATGTCAGAATATTATTCTTATGTTCTAGCCTGTAGTGGGGTGCTCTATAGCGAGTACAACCCTTCTTGGGCCCCCTCAGGTCGCCTCGACGGACGACGGGAGGGGCGAGCTGTGGGGTGGCGGGTATGGGGGTGCTCGGTGTGCCTTCCTCCCTTTGCTCCTCCTCCTCCTTCGTCTCCCACTGCTGCAGCTGTCGCTGAGGGGGGTGGTTGTGTGGGAGACTGGGGTTTAGGGTTTAAAGGGGGTGCGTGGGAGTAGAGCTAGCGGTGTAGCAGTGGGTGTGTATCAGGTGGGTGGGACTGTGTGCGGGAGGATGAGCGGAGGTTGCGAGTTTGTCGTCAGCAGCACCTGTAGTCCGGGGCGCTGTCCCGGTAGCCCAGTGAGCTAGACTTCTACGCCAGCCGCCTGTGGGTCCGTTGCCCGTCCGCCGCTATTTGAGCCGCGGGGCCTGTTACTCCTGTAGTCCGGGCGCTGTCCGGTAGCCGCTGTGCCAGTCTGCCTCCTGCTGCCCGTGTGTCTGCAGCTTCAGCCGTCGCCTCCTATCTCCTCTCCCCTCACTCTCCCTCCTCCTCCTCACTTGCCCGTTGTGACTACCACTAGCTTTGCTTATAATTTGTGAACTCTAAACTATTTCTTCTTGAACTTGTGCTCAGAATGTGTGGTGACATTGTGATCCACCCTGAGCTTGTTTTGCTTTGCCTGCTCTGCTGATAACACCCCACTTTGGCTATGGGGGTGTGTCAGAATATTATTCTTATGTTCTAGCCTGTAGTGGGGTGCTCTATAGCGAGTACAACCCTTCTTGGGTTTGCTATTTGTATCCCCATTTCTGCTAGTTCATCCCCCTCCCCTTTCTTTCTTCAAACTTTGTCAGTAGAATAGCAGATTAAGTCTAAAATTGTGTATTGACTTGTAGTATACGTTGAAGCGAACGATGTTATACTTGTTTTGCTTTTGTTGTGGTGGTAAAAAAAAGTGTTAATATTGAGGTTAGCGCTTATAATAAGGAAGGGTACAAAAGGGGTGGCGCTTATAATCGAGGATCGGCCATAAGCGCCATGCTCCAGATAGAAGCGCCGGCGCCTGTAATAGGCCGGCGCCTATATCCGGGGCCATACGGTATATATATACCTGCATGCTTACTCTTGCTAGGTAGTGATCATTGTACTGTTTGCCGTCTTTTATATAACTCTGAATGTGGACCGGCTTTGTGGCCACTTGCTTGTGCTCAGAGTGTGTGGTGACTTCGGAATCCACCCTGTGCTTGCTTTGCTTTTCTTGACTGGTCTTGTGTCCCCTTGTTCTCCCCCACTTTGCCTATGGGGGTGTGTCAAGCTATAATGCTGCTTATGTTGTGTAGGCTGTAGTTGGGTAGCCTATATGGAGTACAACCCAATCAGGGTTAGCACTTGTACTCAGTTTGATGTCAATGCAATCATTCCTGCTCCTTAGTTTCTGTCAAGAGAGATGGTGAGGGAGGGCTGGGAGAGTGCAATGGGGCTTAACATTGAGGTCTAGCAGAGAGGCAAGTGCAATACAGAGTGGCTGGGAGAGAGGCGAGAGAAACAGAGAGGGATGGGAGAGAGGCAAGAGAAACAGAGAGGGATGGGAGAGAGGCATGAAAAACAGAGAGGGCTTGGAGAAATTGGCAGGAGCAAGTTAAGGATTGGGAGAAAGTGATAAGATCAACAAGGAAGAATGGAAGTTGACTCTGTGTTCACCTCATTACAAAACTGAACGATCAGTGTATAAACCAGGAGTTCTCATGAAGTCAGCTCTTTTAGGAGTACAAGGGCAGGAGAGGGAGAAGTGGGTGAAGAATTAGGAGATGTTGGTCCGTGGCAGAAGACATAAAATGTACACCAAATTTCCTTTATTAAGAGTTGCCAGTTCTTATAGACATACATTTTTTCGCATGAACCCTTGTAAAACGCACTTAATAATAATGTTCTTATTGTCATCAGCTGGCAAGCAAAGCACGTGCAAAGTATTTTAATCTCAAAAAAACATTTCAGTGCAGATCCTCCAGCTATCTAAAGGCCAGAATTTGATAAGACATTTGCTTCTGCAGCAGCACCACTGGCACCAGCAGTACCCAGAGCAGCAAAACTGGCACCAGCAGAATTAGTGGCACCAGAAGCAGCACCTCCAGTGCCACCAACATCAGCAGTGCCACCGACATCAGCAGTGCCACTGGCAGCACCAAGACCAACAGGGCCAGCACCAGCAGAACTGACAGTACCTGCAGAACCACTAGCAGCAGTACCAGGATTAGATGCACTAGCACCAGCAGAACCGACACCAGCAGCAGCACCTGCAACACCACCAGCAGTACCAGCAGATTCACTGGCACCAGCACCATCAGTAGCACCAGCAGCTGCACCACCACCGACAGCACCACTACCCACAGTACCAGAACGAAATGCACTGGCACCAGCAGCTTCAGTGGCACCAGCAACAGCACTACCACCAGCAGCAGCACCAGCAATGGCAGCACCAGCAGCAGCAACAGTAGTTTTCGAAGCATCATTGGCACCAGCACCATAATCTGCACCAATACCAGCAGCACTAGTCCCCCCGATCCCAGCACCAGAAGCACTAGCACCAACAGCACTCTTGGAACCTTCACCGCCAGTAGTGCCACCGGCAGCAGCACTGGCACCAGCACCAGCAGTGCCAGCACCAGAAGCACTAGCACCAGCAGCAGCAGAAACCCCAGCAGCAGCAGCAGGAGCAAATTGTTGCTGGCCCAACGGCTTCTGCCTGAACAAATAGTTCATGGGATGCTTGCTGTTCGAAGCATCACCAGCCAATGGGCTGGAGGAGCCATATGTGGTGGGGACGCCATTGCCATAGGACGATTTACTGCTGGATGCCTTGCTGCCCGACGACTTGCCGCCCAACGACTTGCTATGTTTCGACTTGTGGTGATGGTCATGATCATCGTCATCATCGTCATCATCGTCATCATCATCATCATCGTCATCATCATTATCATCGTCATCGTCATCATCGTCATCGTCATCATCATCATCATGACCACCACCACCACCGCCGCCACCGGATGGAGGCGGGTTGTCGTAGTCTGAGTCATCGTTGTAGTCAGGCCCGCCTCCCCAGAGGTACCGGGGTTTCCTGAAGCACGAGAAGTCCACCGCAAGGCCACCCCTGGTTGGGAAAGAGAGGGAGGGATAAAGGGTCGGGCTTGGTCGCATGCATCATCATCCTCATAGTCCAGCCCACCACCCCGGACGTACCGGGACTTCCTGAAGCATGGAAAGTCCTCCTCAAGGCCGCCCCTGGCAGGAGGAGAGGGTGGGAGGGGTACAGGAGAAAGGGGTCTTGGCTTGGTCGCATGCATTGCCATCCTCGTAGTCCAACCCACCACCCCGGAGGTACCGGGGCTTCTTGTAGCACGAGAAGTCAACTGCAAGGCCGCCCCTGATTGGAAGACAGGAGTGTAAGGTTTGGGAGGAGTGGGGGCGGATTGGGGATGTGCTCTGGTGGGGCCATGGCTCAGTGGATTACGGTTCAGAGGGAGGAAGGCCTTCTTGAAAGCCAGTAAGTTCCACAGCAAGACTGCCCGTATTAAGGCAAGAGAGTGTAAGGTTGGACGAGAGTGCATGAGAGGGTGGAAGGGTGGACGAGAGTGCATGAGAGGGTGGAAGGGTGGACGAGAGTGCATGAGAGGGTGGAAGGGTGGACGAGAGTGCATGAGAGGGTGGAAGGGTGGACGAGAGTGCATGAGAGGGTGGAAGGGTGGACGAGAGTGCATGAGAGGGTGGAAGGGTGGACGAGAGTGCATGAGAGGGTGGAAGGGTGGACGAGAGTGCATGAGAGGGTGGAAGGGTGGACGAGAGTGCATGAGAGGGTGGAAGGGTGGACGAGAGTGCATGAGAGGGTGGAAGGGTGGACGAGAGTGCATGAGAGGGTGGAAGGGTGGACGAGAGTGCATGAGAGGGTGGAAGGGTGGACGAGAGTGCATGAGAGGGTGGAAGGGTGGGAGGAAACATGTGGCAGATGTGAGGGTAGATAGAGCAGAATGTTCTAAGTGGTATTGGGCCAATAAGGTGGCTTTTTGGTTACAAGGTAACAAAGTGCCTCGTGGTAACAAGATAACAAGCTGCTTCTCAGTCACAGGGTAAAGCTCCTAGTTACAAGGTAACAAAGTTGTCTATTGGTGGAAGGGTAACAAGAACGTACTGGTGGTTGCCGTGAAAGGCGAGGGTTTTGGTGGCGGTGCTGCTGATGGCCCAGATGAGGTAGTTGGTGGCGTTGAGCTTTATGGGTACCATCCCCGTGCCCACCTTCCTGGCAAAACTGAGAGAGGGTGTGAGGGAGTTTGAGCAAGTGTAAGAGAGTGTGAGGGAGTGTAAGGGAATGTATGAGAGTGCAAGGGAGTGTCGTGAAGTGTGATGGGAAAGCCAGGAGGGAACGAGGAAAAGGAAGGCGAAGCAAAAGACACTGGTGAGAAGAAACAGCAACTTAGATGAGCTTAGCAGCACGTAATGCTATCAAAACATTGGCGAAACAAAGGACAACGCAGTAGGGTAATGCATGGAGAAGTAGGGTAATACAGCGGAAGTAGGGTAACATGTGGGGAAACAGGCCAAGTTTTCCATCACCCTTACATGATTGTTGTGCCGCCTTCAGATGTAGAAGAAACTGTAGGAGTCCCGATAGCAAATGAGCTCGTTTTCTTTACAAGCTTCTTACTATACCCACTCATGTGCACCGCAGCCACACCCGGCAGGTTCCCTATGACAGCATCTGAGCCCTTCATCTTGCCCTTTTTGCTCGACCATCCAACGGCCATCCAGCCATTTTTGGTTAGAGTGCCCTTGCGAGCCTCAAGGGCGAATCTGATGCGCGTCTTGGTGGCAAAGGTCCAGTGAAGGAGGATGCTGAGAGGGGGGACGGAAGGTGAGGGCATGGGGATGATGAGAAACATTATAGAGACAGGTTGACGCAAGAGTGCTGCTCCTGCTGCTGCTGCTGCTGCTGCTGCTGATCTCCATGGGCATTCGATGGGCTCATTTGCTGGCGAGTGGTTATTGGAGGAAGATTCTACTGGTGAGATGTCAGTTGATGCTCTAATGGGTGTGCTCGTGGTGAATATTCAGTCAGAGTTTGGTGAGAGTACAATGAGAGCCCAGAGAAGCTTCGGTGAGAGCTCAATGAGAGTTCCGTGACAGTTCATTGAACGTCCAAAGGGAGTCCAAGAGGAGGTTATTGAGAGTTCAGTGAGAGTTGAACGTCCGGTGAGCGTTAGGGGAGTGTATTGAGTGTCTTAACAAGAGTTTTCTGATAGGGCAGGGCAGAAGGTGTATGAAAGAAGAAGCTCAGTGGCGGCTGCGCAAAAACTATTCTGTTGGCAGGTGCTCTAGAGAGGTAGAGAATCAAAAGGAGAAAGAAAATAACGAAAAGAAAAGGAAATGGGAACACCATGGTGCACTAAAGGGAAACCATAGAGATCATCACCCACCACACCACCATTCGTTACTATCACATCAGCTATCCTCAACAACAATCACTCACCACCACATTCACTACTAACACCAGCGTGGCGTCAGCGGAAGCAATCACAGGCATTACCATCACTTACAGCGGTCCATTCAGCTCCACTTGATATGAGTACCCGGCTAGCGACGACGACGCGCATGCCGCACCTCCAGGTGGAACCGACGAGGGGGGAGGAGGGGACGGCTTGGGTTTAGTAGATGGTGGGGGAGGCGGGGAGGCTCGACCCGCAGGTGGTGGAGGGGAGCGCTTGGTGCTTGGAGGGGGCGGGGATTTGGCGCTGGAAGGGGGTGGCGGCGAGGGGTTGGAGACAGCGGTGGCGTCACAGGAGTAGTCGATTGTGACGGTGCCTCGGTGGGCAGCATGGCCGTTGTCAAACAAGCCTGAAGGTCCGTCGGAGTAGGCCCAGATGGTCTTCATGGGCCCGTTCACGAACTTGATCTTGTTGCCCGTGCCCACCTCGCGGGAGAATCTGCAGGGAGGTTGTGGGGGATGGGGGAGGTGGGGAGACGGGAGAGCGCGAGGGAGAAGGGTCGGGATGAGGGAGGGAGAGAGAATTGGGCCGTCAGACCCAGATGGTCTTCATGCGGCGTTGATGACGTTGATTTAGTCGTCCATGCTTGGGGTGCGGTAGAAGCTGTGATTTGAGTGGAAGGGGGGAAAGAAGGGGAGAGGGGGAGGGGGGGGGGGGAGAGGAGGGTGAGAGTAGGATAGGTGTTCAAGAAGGTAATCCTGGTGCCCGTGTCACCGTGTGGGAACACTTGCGGGTTTGAGGGAGTGTAAGCGTGGAGTGTGAGGGTAAGGGGGTGTGGACGCAAGGGAGTGTGGAGTACAGTGCGGCGTGGGTATGGGGTTATGAAGTGAACAAAAAAAATATACATCTGGCATCGATATGAATACATCCGGATCGAACAGGGGTGACGGTGTGTGGATGAGAGGAAGCACACTACCAGCTATAGGCGGTAGAGGGTGCGAATGCTAGTCACAGTGAGGTGGGAGATAAGAAGTGGCTAAGCGTGATACATAAAGTATGGAAGGGGGAAACAATAACAGAGGGCATGTGCGATACCACAAGAAATTGTTGACGCGTTGAGTTCAACATGGGAAAAACGTTGTCATAAAAACACAGCAGCCTGGAAACACAAACGTACGTGGCAACGCCGCCAGTGTAGGTAGGCGAACCCAGCGGGACGGAAGCAAACGGGATGATGGCGGTCGGCGTGTCGCCCGCTAGAGTGTAGGCGTCAATGGGCTCGTAGGTTGCGCTGTTAGCGATAACGGCATCTGCGGGATACATCCCGCCTGTCGTTGGCCAGCCGACGCCGAACCACCCGCCAGAGACGGATGTTGATGTGGCTTCCAGGGCCATGTTCACTGTGGTTCCTGCTGTGGTGGCTTTTGTGGCCTTCCAGTGAAGAATCAGCCTGCCGTGTTGGGGAGAATAGGGGAGGGCGGAAAGGAGGGAAAGAGAAAAGGGTTGGCTACTGAGCGAAGGCGTGAGTTACTACCATGCCTGTTTGTGGCCTTTCAGTGAAGAATCGGCGTGCTGTTGTTGGGTGGAATGGGTAGGGGCAGGAAGGGAGGGAAGGAAAAGGGATGGGGACTCAGCTAAGATGTGAGTTACTACTACCATGCCTGTTTGTGGCCTTTCAGCGAAAAATCGTCCTGTTGTGTCAGGGAAGAAGGAAAGCATTTGCAGAAGTGCAATGTACATCTGTGAGCAGCAATTGTGTCCAGAACTTCCTGCCAGGAAAGTTACTACTTCATGTTTGTGTATGAAATATTAATGAACTTTCTCCAGATGTGTCCTGGAGCTCGATCGGAAACTGTATACTGTTAAAGTCGCGGTTAGTACATTTCTTGGGTTCTGTTGTGGCCTGCCAGGTCTTTTTCAAAATGCCACTAGTAGTGCGGGGATTGCCAGAAGTTGGCGTCGTGTTTAAATAGCATTTTTCACCCCCTGTCACGCCATTAAATTCATCCAGCGGATTTTATTTGACTCATCAAATTTTTTCTTTCTTTTTTTTTTTCTTTTTTTACCCGGGCGCGAGCGTTTTGGATGACGTAAAGCCACTTCGGCTCGACGTGCTGCACGCTGCAGCTCCCCCGCGCCGCTTCGTCCCGGGAATTACGGCCGGTCGCAGGCTTTGCGCGCCATTGAAGAAAAAACTTCCGAAGGAGCTAAGGCGAAAGAACGAGGCAATGGAGTGACTCGGAGGTGGCGGCGGCGGAGCAGGTGCGGCGGCAAAGGCGGAGGTAGGGGCGGCGTAGTGTGTGACTGTTATGAGCAGCGCGAGCTGAAGAGCGAGGAGCTGACAACGAGCCATGGAAAGCGCCGAAGACGGATGAGCAAGCAGCACAAACAGCTCCCTGCCGCAGTCACGACTCGGCACTGGAACCCGGGGGTGCTAATTTGGAATGAAATGCTGACTGAAATTGCTGCTCCTCTCTGCCCCTTATGACAGTGAGCCAGATTGAACTGGTGCCGGGGTGAAATTGCGCTCCGCATTCCTCCTTCGGGCACTGTGCATTGAGATTGCGTAACACATTACCCGGCTTTACAGTTTGCTACCCGGCATTTTGAACGCGCAACTCGGCACTTACTGTAACAGTGTTGACTTTACCAACTTTTCATCGATTTCTGGTCTGGTGTCGATTTCAGTGCATTCCGGGCACTGGTCAAACCACTCTGGTTGCAGTATCCGTGTTGGTTCAGAGCTGTTATAAGTTTTGAAAGGAAAGAGTGCGCAGAACTCAATAGTGCGGAAGTGATTACGTCTGAATGAACAACGAGGCCTAGGCATAATATAGCAAGGTTAGCTAGGCCGAGGTCGTGGGGTCGCGGGATGGTTGGGTGTAGGTTCGGGGTTGGAAAACCCGAAAGCGACGCGGTGGTGGCTCGGAAGGCGAGGTCGGCGGGCCGAGCCTGGTTTTCCGAAAGTCGGAGTTGTACGCGTACAGTGTGACCCAGTAAGGACTCCGGAAAATTCCTTACACTACCCCCCCCCTTTAAGAAAGGTGGTGAATATCCAAAACACCTCGGCGGGCGAGGTAAGCGTCCAAAACCGGGTGTCCCAGAAGCGAGTCAGCAGCGATATATGTGTCGTCCTCGCTCGTGCGGTCTTTCCAGCGAAGCAGCAATTTCATTGAGCGGCCGGCAGCAGTCACGTCCACGCGATGGTTGAGAATTTTCCAGGGTTCTAGCGTGGGCTCTGCCACGGGGCGAGTAGTCGGCGCGAGGGTCGGTCGAGCAACAGCGGGCGACTGCGGCTGTTCGTAGTGACGCAACAGGCTGACGTGGAAGGCGTCATGTATCTTCCAATCGTCGGGCAGCAGCAGCTTCGCGGTGACAGGTGTCACCATCTGGATGATCCGAAAAGGTCCCACGTAGCGGGGCCGTAATTTCGCGGGCTGCGGCAGCCGAAGGTTCTTGGTGTCCAGAAGTACAACCTGCCCCGGGCGGAAGGGTAAATTCCGTCGGTGTTTGTCCGCCTGACGACTGGCCGTGGTATTAGCCTTACGAATGAACTCGGCTGCTTTCGTTCGGGCGGTTTGCAGTTCCGTGACAAACTGCTGCGATCTGGGTACCGGGTTGTCCACAGTCGTGGAAGAGGGTACCACGGGGTCTATCCCGTAATTCAGGAAAAAGGGTGATTGTTTAGTCGTGGCCGATGGGGCGTTGTTGTACGCGAACTCCAGCATTGGCAGCGAATCTTCCCACCTGCGAATGTCGGGGCAGTTGGTGCGAATCAGCTGCTCCATGGTCTGATTTGTCCGTTCCGTCTGTCCGTCGGTCTGCGGGTGGTATGACGACGAAAACTGCAGGCAGGTACCGTACTGTGCCCACGTTTCCTGCCATAACTTCGACGTAAATTCCGGATCACGATCGCTGATGATCGCGGAAGGTAACCCGTGTAGGCGTACAACGGTGGAGATGAACAGTTTGGCTGTATCTTCGGCTGTGATCGTCGTTCGGCATGGGGCGAAATGCGCCATCTTCGTTAGGCGATCGACGATGACCAGCACCGAATCGTTGCCACTTGCGCCAGCTAGGAGCCCCGTGACGAAATCCATCGTCACCTATTGCCACGGTCGTTCGGGTGGCGCGAGGGGTTGCAGCAGTCCGGCTGGCCTTTGTCGCGACGACTTCATTGCTTGGCAGGTCGGGCAAGTTGACACGTAGCGCTGTACATCGGTCTGCATGTCCGGCCAGTAATAATTCCGCTGCAGCAGCTTCAGTGTTTTATCGATGCCGAAATGCCCAGAAAGGTTGGAGTCATGAACCTCCTGCGTCAGCAGCTCTCGTAAAGGCTGGTATGCTGGTACCCAAATCCGGTTTGTACCGGCTTTTAGGTAGTATTTGCCGTGCGGTGTAGGAGCTTGTTGTTGCGGGTTCCGAAAAAACCTGTCGATCTTGTAGCCGTGGGTGAATAGTCCCGTCAGCATCGGATTAGTGTGGGCGATTAGTACCGCCGCGTTTTATATGGTTGGTCGGGTAAGGGCGTCGGCGATGTTGTTGGCGCCCTTTTTGTACGTGATGGTGTACCGGAAATTGGACTCGAGGAAGTCCAACCACCGAATTTGTCGCGGGTTGAGTGTCGGTTGTGTGCGCATGTACTGTAGTCACTTGTGGTCGGTCCGAATTGTCACATCGGCTCCCGTGAGGTAGCAGCGTCAGACACGAAATGCATGAACGATGGCCAGCATCTCTTTGTCGTGGACTGGGTAGTTACGCTCGGGTGGCTGCATCTTGCGTGAATCGTAGGCGATGGGTTGCAGCCCTTGGCCGAAGTCCTGTAGTAGGACGGCGCCGACGGCGAAATCGCTGGCGTCCGTGACGACTTCGAACGGTCGAGATGGGTCGGCAAGGCGGAGTACCGGGGGTGAACCCAAAATGTTTTTGAGAGCGTCGAAGGCAGATTGCTCCCTCTCCCCCCATCGAAAATTACTGTCGTGATGCAGTAGGTCGGTCAGCGGCTTGGTTATCCCTGCCATGTTAGGTACAAAACAACGGACGGAGTTAACAAACCCCAAAAAACTTTGCAACTCAGGGATATTAGTAGGCGGTTTCCACTTAACGATGGCGTCCCCTTTACGCGGGTCGATTTTAATCCCGTCGCCAGAGACCACATGCCCCAAAAATTCCTATTCCGGCTTCAGAATCTCGCACTTAGACCCCTTTGTAATTAGCCGATGCCCTTGTAAACGCCGGAACACCTCCTCTAAATCCTGCAGATGGTCTTCTTTTATCGCGCTGTACACCAGGATATCGTCCAGGCACACGATGACCTTCTTGTCCAGCATGTCTCGAAAAATTCCATTCATGGTGAGCTTGAACGTCGAGGGCGCGTTTGTCAGGCCGAACGACATCACTGTGAACTCGTAACTCCCGTAGCGTGTGCGAAAAGCGGTCTTCGGGCAGTCGTCGGCGAACACGTGAATTTGGTGGTAGCCTCCTCGCAGGTCGATTTTCGAAAAATACCGAGCTCCGCGAAGTTGATCCAGCAGATCGTCGATTCGTGGGATCGGGTAACGCGACTTTATCGTGACCCGATTCAGCGCCCGATAATCAATGCACATGCGTAGGCCACCGTCCTTCTTCGGCGTGAACAGTATCGGTGCTACATACGGCGACGTGCTGGGTCGGATAAATCCCTTGACGAGCAGGTAATCCAGCTGGGCTCGCAATTCGGCGAGCTCTGGTTGGCTGAGCCGCCACTGTGACCGAACAGTGGGTTGCGCCCCTGGCTCCAGCTGGATCCGATGGTCTTCAGGTCGTTGGGGGGGCAAGCCATCCGAGAGGTCATCCGCGAAAATTTCGGGATACCTCCGAATGATGCTCGCCAATTCCTCGGGGACTACCGCGCAGAGGGTGTCGATGTCCACGATTTTTTTGGAAGCTGCCACCTCGTACAGATGCACCAAGAAGGCCTGAGCTCCGCCGTTCATCGCACGCTGCATGTTGACCGCGTTGACACGTGTCGTCACCGGCTCCGGCTCCGTCCATTTCCGAAGCGTCGTCTTCCCTCCGTATCCTCGCACGACGCACGTCCCAGTCGTCCAGTCGATCGTCGGATTGAAACGCTGCACCCAATCCCTCCCCAGCAGCACGTCGCAGCCGTCCAACGTCGTCGCCAACAGTTTTATGCCAAACCCGAAATTGTCGCTGCACTGTATCTGAATTTTTTGCGCCTCATCTCGGATGGCCAGCGGTGTTCCGTCCACCAACCTTGCATCGATCTCTGGCAGACACCTGGTCAACTTCACCCCAGTTTGTTTGGCCGTTGCCATGTTGACGAGACTGTGGATCGCCCCACCGTCAACGAAGATTTTTATCTTATAACCGTTAACCCTCCCTACCACCAGCAC